ACGAGGCCCGGCCGCTGAAGTGTTTAACGTCTGCGGTACTCCCTCAGAACTGCACCCCTGTCAGACGAGACATATACCACGTGATGACACGTTAGGCTCGTGTTGTGTTCAAGGGCCCTGACCTTGGCCAGGAAAAAGTAATTTGCTTGTTTAATTATTTTGCGGTCTAGATTTCTTTATTTTTTTTAATTTTTTGCGTGTGTTTATAAATTACCTTGTGGGCCGTACCAAATGGTCCGTATACGGCCCGGAGGCCGGAGGTTCCCCACCCCTGCTTTAACATTACATCCTTAGAAGTAAAACAACAACTACAATGTTATGTAATTCACACAGTGTTATGAAGTCATCAGGATTCATTCTCTGCCATTGGTTTAAGTACAGACAATAATGGTACCAAAACCATCTAATGAGTGCAAAAGTTCCTTCTTTCCAACTACCATAAGACAAGAGCACATATACTTGTCTGATATACAGAGATATTTTATAATGTTGACCTGATGATGGTGCTACATGAAAAGTTGGGATAAATAAAGTGAATACAATTCCTCCTGAGGAAAACACATGTGTTTGAACCAAATTCCATATAAATCCATTAAATCCAATAATTGTTCTTTGGCTCTGAGAAATCTAAGATAAACGTTTAGATATCTTTTATTGTTTTTTGTTTAATTGGCCTTTTGCCCATGTTTTATCCAACTTTGTTGCAGGAGTACACCATTGACATCTTCTTCGCCCAGACATGGTACGACAGCCGACTGAAGTTCAACAGCTCGATGAAGCTGCTCATGCTCAACAGTAACATGGTAGGCAAAATCTGGATTCCTGACACGTTCTTCAGGAATTCTCGCAAATCGGACGCCCACTGGATCACCACTCCCAACCGCCTCCTGAGGCTGTGGAGCAACGGCAGAGTCATGTACACACTGAGGTAGGACCAGAGGGCAACCAATTAGCCAACATTTTAAGTAGCCATTTAAAATGTTATCAACTATTTAAAAAATATGTGTTGTTTGTGCAGCTTTAGTGTTTGCATCTGTATCTGTGTCACATACTTTCTGTCTTGATTTCTTTAGGTTTAATGATCTTTGAGTATTATGTTGAGTCACATTTGGGAGGGAAAAACCAACGCTGAGATTTGCTTTTTCTCTGTCACAATTCTGTTTTTGTCAGGTTGACTATTAATGCGGAGTGTTACCTTAAGCTGCATAACTTTCCAATGGATGAACACTCGTGTCCACTGGAGTTTTCAAGCTGTAGGTTGTCAAACGTTTTCCCCTTCCCATTCTCGAACCCGCCATCTCGACTTCAACTTTCGTAAAAATAGCCAGAGAGAGAAGTTTCTGTGTGGGCTAGGCCATTGTTCCTTCTCCTTGCCTAAATGCCCATCTGCTTGAGGCTGCCCTCTTTAAGCCTGTACCAATCTATCATCTGCTCCACCGGTCGAGAGAGGAGGTCACCCAACCCCATTTTCCCGGACAGACTTAATGAATTATGCACCTTCTCCCAGTCTGATTCATGTGTCTGTGTCATCCTTCATTTTTCTCTCGCATTGTGCTTTAGCTTCTCCCGTCTTGTCATGATCTTTATATTCCACTCAGTATGGAAAAATACAAAGACCATTCCATGGAGTCAAGAACAAACGCCAGGACCAGTACAGTCACACTAAATGTCATCAAATGAGCTCAAACCAGGGTTAATTTCCTCAACTAAGACTTCTTATCAACTCAAGACATCTCATCAAAATAAATGTGTTAGTGTTCCTAAAAAAACAAAAACAAAAAACATATTATGTTTCTTATTAGCAAGCATCCTCTTGTACTATTCTCTACCAAGAAGGTAGACTGATATTGTTTACCAATGCAACATCTTTAAAAGAGGAAGATATGATCAGAAGTCAAAGCTTGTGACTTTTTTTTTTAACATTAAAGCATTTCACAGTAGAGGCATAACATATAAATATGAACCTGAAAATTAGCACAATAGGGCCCCTTTAACCATAAAGGCGGCATATCAAAAAGCATTCTATTTTGAAAACTTGCAAACATAATTCATTTTTATGTAAAATAGTAAAATTCCGAAACACTCAATTCAAAGTGTGAAGATATAAATAAAAAATACAAAAAATGTGTGGATGTCCAAAGACAAATGTTGTATCGCCTTAATGTACGAATCAGGTAAAACAATGACTTATAGACTGCAGATGTGAGCTAGTGCTTACTCCCAGGAATTACACGTCCTTCTATTAACTACTAAAGTACTGTAATGCACAAAATGTTCTGAATATGAAGAACTCTTGCTCATTTGAAAACGTTTCATGAGACTGGGCAGGTCAGTTCCATCGTGAATGTTCCATTTGCTTTGCCATGGTGCAATGTTCCCTTATAACATACGGTATATTGAAGGACAGAAAGGCATCAGTAAGGCTTCTTATTCATTATATGTGTCTGTGTTGTGGGGTTGGGTTCTGTAGATGGTTATCCTAAGAATGAGATCATGTACCGGTGGCAGAGACGGGCAGTGGAGGTGGCAGATCAGCGCTACTGGAGACTCTACCAGTTCGCCTTTGTAGGGTTGAGGAACACTTCAGATGTGGCACACACCCAGTCAGGTGAGAGTGTATTGGCCATGTCCTATTACATGCTGCCAGTCCCAGTTTTATATGTAGTACTGATAGCATAATAATTCAGATTTTGGGTTGGATAACCGTTACCTGCAATGGGTAACATTAAAACGAATCTCTTCACTCATGCCCTTGACTTATCGTATTTATCTCTTCACCCACCTTATTGTTTAACTTTCAGGTGAATATGTAATCTTGACAATCTTTTTTGACCTGAGTCGGAGAATGGGCTACTTCACCATCCAGACCTATATCCCCTGCAGTATGATCGTGGTCTTGTCCTGGGTCTCCTTCTGGATCAACAAAGATGCCGTCCCAGCCCGCACATCTCTAGGTTTGACATTTTCCTATTTCATATTCATACACTCTTAAACAGAGTCAGAATGGCATGTGCCTTTTTCTGGAATGTTGGTTGGTTGGTTGGTTGGTTGGACCGTCAATCAAACCTTATCAAACCACACTCACAGTCTTGTTGAAGCAGGGCAGCTGTTTTTTTTTTTTTTAATTGTTGACAGTTTCAACACCCCCTTTTGAAAAGATTCAGATTATTCAGACTAAATGTTAAAACATTTCAGTAATTTATTTTCAGCTCATACATCTCAACACCCAAAGGTTGCCAAATGTAGGGGAGGACTGACAACATCCCAAATGGTGTAACTCTTTAAATTAGGGGTGCACCGAATGGGAAATTTTTGGCCGAAACCGATACCGAAAATAGGAAACAGTTGGCCGAAAACCGAATGCCGAAAGGCCGAAAATGATTAATAGAAATATATATATAACACTTGAGTGGTTGTCTTGCCTTTGGTACTAAATATTATTGAGATAATATATGATTTAGAAAAAACGTGAACCCGAATGCCATTAACATGATTAAATCCAGTAGGGACCAACGTTCACACTGGTTCATAACTACCTCCTTATAGACTTGCTTTGTTAACCGAACACCCATTTGAGCAGGTACAAACTTTTGAGCGCGCAATCCACAAACCTTCATGTCATCAATGACTCGCTTATCTATTTTGCTTTATGTCTATAAAAACACGTTCTACAAAGATTAATGTACTTAGCACCAATAATAATAATAGGATACTTAATGGTTATTCCTCAACATGGTGTGGCATACCTTTATGTTGACGTTGTCTGAATAGTACAAACGTATCCTACTTACATGATTAGTCTATTGTAAGGATACAATCAAAAACGTACCTCAACTTATTCTGATAGCTCTGTAATGGACAAATGAACTTTACGGTCATTCATTATGATATCACGAGTTGGGCAACTGTAAAATATTCTGGTTTATCGCGTACTTGTAGGAGGTGGTTACGTCTTGCTTACGAGCAAGATTACGGCTTTTTATATGATGAGAACTACGAAAGTGTATACTATGTCTATGGGTACTCTTGCCCGGCCTGTACGGTGGCGGAAATGTGGCACTGTCACAGAAACCACAGAACACTTTTTCAAAGTTTTTGGAGTACAGACCCAAAACAATTCCCGACTACCGACACCCAGTACAAGGAGAGGGACATAGGACGTACAAGTGTAAAGGTAGGATGTAAAATCCTCGTACTCTTGCTATGGACTTCATCATGAGTGGACCAGTCTTCACCATTTCCTTTATCCTACTACCTACATATTCATATCAGATGGCTTCTGCTTTTCTTACTCTGTAACAAAACGCGACCTGGACCCTAGAAAAATATGTAAAGGTCCTACTATTACCATTAAGACATGAAATTTTACAATAACAATGACCATAATATAAGAGCGTTATTACCTGTTGTTCATAATTATAGACTGTTAGTACGCATAAGGTATTTATGTGCGAGTCCGAATGCTTTCGAAAATGAACGTTTTTGTAGATTGAAGACATGACTCGACGTCTCTTTTATTCCTAATAACAAAACCAATAATAACATACACGCGACTCATCGAACTGAAATGGTCCAAAGTGACGGTGTGACTCTGTTTGATAAGGAATGACAAACAGGGTTCGTACATCTCTACCGCACAAACTCAAACACACCAAAACACTAACTACAACACACACCCTTTTAGTCCCTATCTAATTAAAGGATCTCAAGGACAAATACTATATACTGGCTAGACTTCGAGGATGCATTTTACTATTACCCATGAAAGTTTCTTGGTTCGTAAGATTTAAAGATTGTGTTTTTATGTAACAAGGAACCCTGTACATTAGTAACTAAATCGTTTTTCACCTACGGAGAATGATAGTCTCGACTCTACTACTCTCTTTGTACTACGGCATACTTTTATCTTATTTCATTTCAGTCCGATGCTCGATTGGCAATGTCTTAAATTTCTCTTTTACCACGATGTAATCGATCGTTGGGTTCAAACATAACTACCGAATTTGTCATTGGAAAAGGAGATGGAGACGTGCGAAGCTTCCCCACTTCGGTAACGGACTTATCAGCGCTTGTAACTTGTCACGCCGGGACAATGCTGCTGACAAAACCAACCCTACTGATAATTTCGTTATGTGTGAGAATCGCCAGGAACATTCTTGACGCCCACCGACGAGCTATTCCAGTATTATCACCTAATCTCCAGATACTTCTATAAAATACTTTTAATCTAATCTATAATATAATATGCGTAACAGGTGTTTTAATTTTTATATAATATATATTACTTATATTTTTTTATATTTTCTATTATTTCTATATGATCAATGTTACTAATTCCTTACAAGGGATATGTGTGCTTTGTGTAATTAAAGCGAGACTTGTACGTCATTCGTGTGTCTTATATATGTCCTATTTTTTTTTCTCTATATTTTGTTTCCTAAATTGTATTTTACCAACCGTTTACTTGCTTCACTGTCCTTGTCTCCTAAGGTCGTTTGTCAGGGAATTGAACGTAGACTTATTTTTTTAACCGTCTCTGTCGCGACAATACTTTACCATAACGTCGAGAAAACAGCCACACTAAATGTTCCATATAGACAACTATAGAAAACTTAACTAATGTTTGACTGATGGTTAGCTTTTTCCCTAAGTTAGACCTACTACAGGTAGTTATCATTTGCCCTAACCTATTTTATTCAACCAAACATGTCTGTCTTGGTTTTCTTCATTCTTTTACCTCCCTTTTTTTAATCAAAACTTCAGATATTATAATTTAGTGAGACATATATTGTCCTACAAGACCTCCTATACAGTAAATTCAAAGGAAATACACAAAGTACTCACCAAACCGTCCCACCGTTGTATTATTGGACAACGTGTGTCACTATGAAAAATGTAGTTGTCTTGACATATGTATGCCTTTAGTTCAGTACATTGCTAATCCATTTCTGTAAGAAAAAGAGTTTGGAAAAGTTTTGTTTTTTAGTTGCACGACTAGTAGAAGACTTTATCCTGCCAACTGATGGACCTTAATATTTCTCATATTCAAGAACTGCTAAAAGGACTGGCACAAACTTTTTGCCAGGTCAAGAATATTGACTTTGGTATACTCTTAAATGTCTACATTATTTAGAGACCGAGAAACTTTTTGTAATGTAAGTACACGAAGTTACTTCAGGTTGACAAACTTTTCAAATATTTACGCAAGGTACATTCCTGGGGTGGTTAGTTCTGTGACGTCCACAGCGGTAAGTTTTTAATCTTGGGATACTTGTAATTTCCATAAAAGGGCAAGACTACAGCTTCACTAGCGTTATCACTTAGCACGGTGTAAGGACTGTTTAGTTTATTGCTTGGTTATCTCGGACTAACGAGTAATAGGACAGATAGAGTTGGTTATTAGGTATCGTGACCTCGTCGTTTCTCCATTTGTGGTTAAACACATTAAAAAAAATCCAAACTACCGTTATAGAGGAGAACAAATCTGATCAGATTGAGCACGTTTGTTAGAAGACCGTCAAGGTTCGACGACTACCCCATCCCCATCCCAAAGTGTCCTTACATTTAGATTAAAACTTAGTTCATTCGTTTTGAACCGCCTCGAATTTTTCGAAACAGTTTACTACAGGATAAATTTAGACTCTCCATATTAGTTGTAACCCGTTCAGAACCCTCAAAGGTAAGGCTAAAGTTCCGGTGTAAAAGCGAGTCACATGAAACGAGTAACAACGGGAAACGACTATTTATACTCTTAACTGTCTCTATTTTTCCATCCATAGTTCCTTAACAGAAGCTATCTCTCTCTTTCGAAATCACGGTTCAGTAGGTATTGATCCTCCCTGTGTCCCTGTTTTTAACGTTCACACGTCACGAGATCCCTAACCAGGATTCTGGTCCTACGTAGGTCACACACAAATCAAGGAGCTAATCCGCTCCGACGGTAAAACCGGAGTCGATGTCGAACTATTTTTCACAGGTAGTTACTGATAGGTCAAGAGGTTTTCGTAACGTTTTTTTACTTATTGTTCTTATACGTTTCCCCGCTACGCTACGGATGGTATGTTTACTCGGGATCATTCAATTACGATAACGGTCTGTGTTAATACAGCGTAGATTCTCACCATTGGAAATCTGCGATTTCTTCCTCACACCTTAAATCGAATGACTTACTTGTCCTTATATGAATCAGACTGTTTCCTTCAGTCTCAACAAAAGTAAACGAAATAACTAAAAATCAAATGGGAGTTACAACTTAATAGGGTTACAATCCTCCTTAATATATTCGAGTCACTCGCAGAGAATGGATTATCAGTTAATGTTTTATGTATCGCTTTACCGTCTGAATTAGATGTATAATAGACGATACAGCTGGTCGTTCCTTTCAGGGCACAGGGGAAAAACCTAACCCCCCTCCCGTTAAGGTATTCCCTTCTATTTAAGTTCATACAGTAAGGTCACAGTGCCACATATCCGAGTATAGTTTACCTTAGTTAGGGGACGGTTACTCTTTTAGGTCATTTTTTATACCTTTACTTTAGGAAATAGAAAATTTTACGGTTACATTTCTCCTTAGAAGTAAAACCACGGTCTGGCCTTTTCCAGTCTAACTCTAGCGATTTTTAGTAATTTACGTAATTAAGTGATTATACCTATATCTCATCTTTATAGTGTATAAACAAGGAGTCCGACTCACCCATGTACCTCCAGTAAGTATTGAATCAAACGTTAAACCAAATAGACAACGGTTGTTTCGACTTGATACAGGATTACGGACTTCGTTATCGTCCCTGATACGAAAAATTTACGAACGTCTGCCAATTTTAGGTCAGCAGGAAACTCTACAAGACCTAAATATCTATTCGTCTATGGTTAGTCATTTGGTCTAAACTTTTCCGGGTTTCGTCGACCCTTTCTCTTTATAAGCGCAACACTCATTCTTAGTTAGACCTTTAGC